GCCAATCCTGTTAGTAATGCCTCTAATGGTGCCACGACCCCGAGAACGCTGCGTGTCTTGTGCTGCACTTCCACCCCCCATTCCCAAACCAGCAGCTCCACGGCTGTGCCACCACCAAAGCCCTCTGGGTGTCATGCAAAGGCACAGTGTATGTGGACAAAGTCTAGCACTGTCCTTTGTGATGCTTTGTGCATCATGCAAATTAATTACGATTGTAATTACCCTGTAGAACCTTTCCATTTGGCAGATTCCAGTTAAAGCCTTCCTGCATCTCTCCTTGAGTTTGTGCAAGCCTGTGCAGACCCTATTCATATACGGGAGGCTGCAAACACAGCTGGGCTTTGTTTTGGGTGTCTTTTCCTCCAGTTTTGTATGTGCTCAGAAGTGGAGCCCGTACCCAGCCTCAGTCCATCATCTGGAGACAGTCATTCTGTTTTTAGGCTGCTGGGATAGAGCTGGGAACCCGGCCCACAGGGGGAAGGTGCTCTTATTGTTGTGAGCCAGTTGTACAATGCCAGTGCTGACTCATGAACCTGACACCAGGGATAACATTAGGCTAAAAATCAATTGGTCCCAAGTTGTTCAACACTCTCCGTATTCATCCCTAGTTCTGCTGTCCCTCAGTCTACATCCCACCCCTGGACCAGCGCCCAGGCCCCTTGTGAGCCACGGGAAGACGTCACCCAGAAATGTGAATTTCTGAGCATTCAAAGGCTGCACTGTTTATCCAGCTGATAGCTTCATCTCCATGCTCTTGGCTTTGTTTGAGTGTTTTGTTTCAAAGAACAGGGCCCAGTATCCCACTGCTTCCTGTTAATTGAGAAACTGGGGCTAAAGCCCAGCTGTGACAACCCCTGGGGTGCTGGTTATCATTCCTTGCTGGGCCCCTGTCCTGCAGCTGAAGTTGTATAAACTTCAAATCATGACATAATGTACTGGAGCAATGGTGGGCTGAGGCACTGCAGCTGGACTGCACATCCCTGCTGACAGTCAGCTGGGAAAAGCAAATATAAAACTGTACCTATAGCACAAAGTGCCAGAGGGGAACTGTGTTCGGGTAGGAATAATTTTTTGCTATGCATTGCCAAATCAGTCCCGTTCATTCCTGGGCCACTGGCCTGAAATGGGACTTCTTCCAGTTATTTACTTACTGCGTGTTGACTCAAAATATTAAGATAAGAAAAATAAAATAAAAAAAGCCCCACATACTCAGAGACACCAACCATCCAGTCTTAGGATAAACATTCCATTGAACTAGGTACAGTTACTTCAAAGCAAACTACAAAAGTGAATGTTTCTCTTCTAAGAATGCTTCTTTTGCTGTTCGAAACTTGGCCTTGATTTTTTTTTTTCTTCTCCTCCCATATTTCTCCTGATATTATGGCTGAGTGGAAAAATCTCCAGAAATAATTAGGTGACTAAGAAGCTGAAGATCCCTTTGGATTTTGGCTTGGACAGCAAAAGCTTTTGAGACAGACTTTCAGCATCTTTAGCAATACATTATTTCCCATATATTAATTTCTAACTAATGTGCCTGGTAACTCTACCTTGGACTATTCTGAAATAAAATCATCATCATAACTACCGCTGTTTGATTGTGCCTGCAGCAAGTTCTTTGGGGAACCAGCTTCCTTGAAGATGTAGCACAAAAAATTATTTACTTCCCTAGGACATCTCTGGGCTCCCTGCCTCTATCCATCAGCTTTAAACTTTCCTCAGCCAGGACAGTGGCTTGGAGCAGCGGAGATTTGCCGCTGCTGGATGAGACGCTGGCTTTGCCAACCAAATATCATCCAGAGAGAAGGTATCCCGCCCTCCCGTCCCCGGGCTTTGCCCGTTTTCTTGCCTGCGCATCCTCTGGCCCACCATCCCTGGCAGCTTGCGGCGTGCCCCCATCCTTACCCTGCTCCAGGTCCTGCTGGTCGTACCAGGGCTCCTCTTCCTCGCTCTGAAACTCCTCCATCCTGTCGGCGCTCAGCATTTAGCACCAGCGGCCCGGGGAGACGCGCAGCATCCGCCGAAGGGGGGGCCTGGCGCCTCCGAACCGCGGGGCGGGATGGATGCGGGGATACGGGCAGGGATGCGGCCGGGGATGCGGCCTCGGTGCCCCGGCCGGGCCGGGAAGGAGGAGGTGGCACGACGTGGCAGCCGGTGCCTGGCCGCTGCCCCGGCTCTGCGTGCCCGGAGGGGCGGCTTCCTCCTGCCTCCAAGGCCGGGGGGGCTCCGGAGGAGGGAATGCAGCGGGGACGTGGCGGCCGGGGCGGGGGGACACGGCTTGCACAGCGCTGGGGGATGCACAAAGGAAGGAAGAGGGCCCGGCGCAGCCAGGCAGATCCTCGCTCCGCAGCTCGGTGGGGACCTCTAGCATGGAAATGCCGCAAAGAAAACCGGCGAGAGGGAAGGGGGAGGCGAGGCGAGACCGGCCTCCTTCGCCTCCTTCTTCTCCGCCTCCTCCTCTCCGCCCCGCCGTGCCCCGGGGAGCGGCGCAGCCGGAGCGGAGCGTGCGGGGCCGGGGTGGGGCTCGCCCGGGCTGCGAGGATCGGCAGCTGTCCCGCAGTGCCCTGCTCTGTCCCTCCCGCATGGAAGCTCTGCCAGGAGCGGGGCTGGAGGCTGGAATGCCGTGTCCCGTCCTTGCCGTGAGCTTCGCGGTGATTTGGGGCAATTACGGGCACCTCTCCGTGGGGCTTTCAGTGCTTTCTCCGCCTTGCTGGGTTTGTGTGGGTTGTTCTTCAAGGAGATCATCCATTCTCCCTTAGCTGGGGCTGCAAAAGGGGACACCCCATACAAACAGCCCCACAGCATTTCCTCAGTGTGGTGTCTTCCTCCAACCCTATGTTGTTTTGCACTCTGATGGGAAATCAGTGCCTCTGATGCAGGTTCCTCTTTCATTTCTCATATCTTTGTGAAGGATGGAATGAAGTTAAAATTCAGGGAAATCAGGATTTATAGAGTTCTGAGGAGGAAATTAGTCTGTTGAATATTAAAAATTCAGAAAAAAAAAGTCTTGGATTTTGGTGCTTGCTTCCCACCTTAATGGAACAAGGGTTAGAGATGGTGGTCTTTCTCCTAGCTGGAGTTTGGCATAACGGAATTTATTTGTGCTTGTCAGCCATGGAATCTATCAGAGGTTCTAAGATCCAAATGAACGTCTGTGACAGTTACAGATACAGTGGGATTTTTTTTTTTTTGTGGTGTTGGTATTTTTGTGGGGTTTTTGTGGTTGTTTTTTTTTTTTTTCCTTCTGTGTGATGGAACTCCAAAGATTTAAATTTGATCGCATTACCTCGCAGTGGTGCCCAGAGAAAAGGCAATATAAAATGTCTACGCAAGAGCAGCAGACTGTGCATCCAGAAAAGATGGGATTTGTGTCAGAAAACTCTATCCAATCCAGCAGTGACGGGCAGCTGGGTGCCCCTGGATGATTAAAGCAAGAGCTAGTACTCAGCTCTTGTGTACCGCAGCAGAGGAGGGGGATAAAGATGGGAGTAAGAGAGGAATTACAGACTATTCCTCTCCCCTTTTCTCCTCATACACCTCTCCATCACATATACACATTCTGAAAATTCAGTGGCTGCCTGGAAAGTCATCTGCTTTAATACAGTCACAGACCAGAATAAAGGAATCTCTTTAACTTGGCATTTATAACTCAGCAAATGTAATCAAGCACTTGTGGTGGATCTGGGAGAAAGTAATCTCTAGGTCTTAGATCTTTCTCTAACCAATTTTAATGCAGAAATAGGAAAATCTTAACCTTCTTGTGCCTATTGAAGAGTCATGTGGACAATGCCCTTTATGACGCACCTCAACTTTTGGTCAGCCCTGAAGTGGTCAGGCAGTTGGACTAGAGTTCTTATTTGTCAGAAATAATTGCTTTTGAAAAGTAGTCTGTTCCTAACAATAAATTCTTATAATTTTTTTTGTATATTGTACAATATTGAGTACTTGGATGCAAAGCCTCAGGCTATTTGGCAGCAAAAGCCAGATTACATGATTTTGTGAAAATATTTTTTTCCTGTAGGTTTTAGCATAATGTCTCTGATCTGATATGTCACTCAATCAAATCAAACATCACTCCTGTACAGGTTATATGCCAAAAAATGACAATTCCCACAGTCTTCCCCAGCTGGAGAGTCAGTATGCTGCTTTCTTTTGCAGAACAGAATAACCTCACTTTTTCTGAAGAAAGGTTTGTAGAGCTGAGCATGTGAAATGTAACTTAGGGGACACCAAAAAGACCTGCTCGCAGTTCACAGAGCTGCCCAGAGCAGAAAAGAGCGACGGTGGCTTCAAAGGCAACAATGAACGCCCTCAAAAAGCTGTTTTGAGGTGTTCAGTGAGTGCCAAACCCTGAATTCCCAGCACCCAGGATTATAAAACATCCTCTCCTTGTGTGTGGGTGGAATTTCATTAGGGTTAATGGGCCACCGCCTGCAATGAGCTCCTCACAAGGTACTGGAACAGGGTCTGTGTTACAAGTGTGCTTGTTCCTGGCTCCTTTCAGCGCAGGGCTGGGGACAGACTGGAGCTGGCTGTTGTCCTGGCATCCTGCTCGCACCTCTGCAGCATCTGGGTTTGGGACCAGGCTCTGAGAGTGGCTGGACAGAGCTGTCACTGGGCTTGTGTCCGAGCCTGGCAAAGGAGCTTCAGGGGACAAAGGCTGCAGGCAGAGGAGTGGGAAAAGGGGCAAGGAAAGGGGAAAAACGGTGACACGAGAGCAGAGGAACTCGATGCAGAGATAAGGCAGAGGATGGAGCAGAAGAGAAGGGCTGTAAAGGAAAGCGCAGAGCAGAGAGGCGGAGGGAGCGTAGGCAGGAGGGGATAGCGAGGAAGGAGAGATGAGAAAAGCCGTGCTCTGCCGTGAGTGGAGATGAGGCAGGGTCTGTGGGACCGCGGCCGTGGGAAGCAAAGTGTGGGAGGGAAGGGGCTGCCACAGGGAGGAGAGAACGAAAGGGTGAAGCGGCGGAGGGATGCCGGGCGGAGGTGGGAATAGAGGGAGGCGGCGGGGCGGGATGTAGGGATGGAGAGCTGGCGGAGGAGGAGCCTCGGGCGGAGAGCGGGGAGGGCCGGACCGGCGAGCCCCGGTTTGACAGGAGGAGGCAGGGAGGCAGCGGGACCCGGCGGCGCGGGGACGGGGATGGCGTTAGCGGCGGCGTGAGGGGACAGCCCTGCCCGGCCCTGCCCGCACCATGGGCAGCGCCGACTCCAAGCTTAACTTCAGGAAGGCGGTGATCCAGCTCACCACCAAGACCCAGGTAGGTGAGGGCCGCCATCTCGGGCGGGGGGGCCGCGCCATGTCGGGAACCGCCGCCCTCAGGGGCCCCTCACGCCCGGCCTGCCGAGCAGCCCCGGCGCTCCCGGGCGGTCCCTGGTCAGGGCTGGGGCTGCAGTCCCGCCCG